CGTTCTGTTCAAATAGCATCACCCCATGCTAGAATTCTCGTTCCTCTTTTCTCCGGCTCCAAGAAGCCTCCAATTTGCAACAAATCAGCACGGCTCTGAGCTGTTTGCAGTCATCACCTTTCTCCCGTTCGTGCCAGTCTCTTCCACCGCCCCTGTTGCCACCCCCACCCCCCCCTCCCCCTCACGGGTGCATTCCCAGTCTGTATGCGCTCCATGGTTCCGCTCGACACCCCACCCGGGCCCTCTGGTCCCCGGCTCGTCGGGCCGGCCGCTGTAGCCATTTCTCAGCGGTGGCGTGTGCGAGCGACTCGATCCGTCAGAGGTGGCGCGCCCGCCGGTCCCGATGAAAGGCCCGCAGTCTGCGGCGACAGCCGACGTCGTCGCCGAGTCTCGTTCGTCGCGTCCGCGCCGTGACGGCCGCGCAGCGCCGGCATTGTCAGCGCGGACACGTTCTGTGGAGGTGGCGGATGTCGCGGAGGTTGCGGCTCAGTGGGTGCCCCTGTCAGAGCCGCCGAATTCGATGTCGCTGGTGGAAGCTGAGGGGCTTGTGGGGGTGACAAGGAATGGAGGTGCGAGGTGTAGTGGTCGAGATCAAACCCGGTGTGATGCAAGGCAGAAAGATAAGAAAGGAGAATAAGGGGGAGAGGGACAGGGAGAGGGAAAGGGAGAGGGAAAGGGAGAGAGAGGGGGAGAGGTCAGCTTCCACGGTGACAGGACAAATGGTGCGCCTGGACTCCAAATGCTTTATGTTTGTGAATCGACAAAGATCTGGTGAGAAAGGTCTAGGATTTCGAAACGTTTAATCATCCTAATGCTCAGTATGTCGGGAAAGCATTGACACGGAAACCCGAAGCCAAAACAGATATTTCTACCGGTAAGTACGGGCAATGTCAGAACAATTGTAGGCATCTTAAACACTTAGTTCGTGATTCACAGCGACACCTGTACCAATTTTAATTACTAGCCACTAAATAATGTTATCAGATTTAACAGGATTCATGCAAAGAAAATCGGTCTCTAATCCTAGATCAACAAATGACTTGAAAGCTTCATGCTACCTCCGCTGTCATGCATGGTTTAGCTACTAACGGAATCACCTTTTTAATTTACCTTGCTGATAACGCGGTCTTTAAAACGCCTGTATCTATAGCTATACCACAAAAAGAGAACGACGTACGAACGGCAAAAAAAATAACCAGTTACCACTGCAAGGATCAAAAACAAAAAGAAGTTAATTATACTAAAGGATCGCATACCAACTAAAAATACGGAAGATATCCATATACATAGACTCAACCATTAGAGCTCAGTAGGTAAATGGCAGAGTATCCGAAAATAGACAAATTTCAAAATACCAGCCACCCTCCGCACACTTTACACAAACAAAAAGATGCCCGGCCCGGGCTCGAGTGTCTTGTATCGGCTCCATTCGATAGTCGGCATGTCACGGTTATACCTACAATATATTTGTCGATTTCACCATCGGAGCACACCTGGCACGTCACTGTGTCGTGCAGAGGACGGGGAAAATACGTATAAATCGCCCATGACACACAACAAAACTGCTATCGACTAAAAGTGAGATGTCTGACGGTCAATAAGCCTGACCTGTAAGGTAAGGATAACGCTTTAACTCGGGGTACCGATTTCTAAAACACGACCAGGTGGGCGTCAAAAGCCATTTTACGAAAACAGTTCCTGCCGACAAAACTTCTCGACATTCAATAGATAGCACGAAACAAGTTTCTAAACAACACTGACAGAATAAAGCATTGACAAAGCGTACTGCCTGCTTATCGTCGGCTTTAGGCGATAGCCTGTCGCGGAGCAGGGACAAGTTTTCTATAGGGCGGGGACGACGTGGCACGTGATAGCGACTACCACTGGACGTCGGTGGCCCCTAGCGAGCAAAGTCGGTCAATGAAGATCATAGAATGGCAGCCACCGTTGCGTCAACGGTTACTGAAGCTGACGAAATCGAACAGCCGGGTCAGCACTATCAAAGCTTTCCTTGATGGCCCTTGATATGATAAAACTTGGAGACAGCGAACCGCATGCCAGACATAAATACCAATACTTGTATAGAAAATGTGCATTTTCACTATTCAAATAGTGCTATGTCGATTTTCGATCACCAGAGGTCACTGTATTGAGTGATCGTCATTCACTACTGCCCTATTTCTTAGCATCTTCACCATAGATATACCAAGACCTTCCCTAATATGAGTTCATATTTGAAAGACGTGCACAAAACACCAAGGTGCGGCACCGGCCGTTCTGACGTCACTTAATCCCAACAGGTCGGTCTATTTCTAGCTGAATAGTATCGATTAGCAAAACGAACCCACCCTCACTGGTGACAGCTAACAGGCTCTGTTACTGCGGGTGACGGGTGACGTTTTATGACAGCTACATAGGCAAGGGTCACGAAAAACATCAACCGTCTTCTTTTCCATGACATAAAATTCTGAAAAAAATATGTTCCATGAAAGTTCTAATAAATTGCACGATTCAATAAAGAACTTAACCCGATACAAACATTACATCCCTATAAGCAACCTACAATAAGATCAAATATAGTTTCTTTACATATTTTACCCTATTCTGGCGCCAGAAGACAATCATCAATTTATATTTTTTATCCGTGGGTTAAACATGATAACCTATTAAACTGGTGTGTTTCAAGAACGCATCGACATGCTGTTCTACTAGATTTCTGTGAAATTCCACAGTGCCATTATTGTATAGTGTCAGTGTCTCCTATCATTTACCGTGCCTGGAAATCGCCTCTCGGCCAATATTGTCCGTAGACAGCTCCGGCTAAAATTACCAACGAATTGATTTATTGAACTGGGACTCTGTGAAACGGTGCTGCAGCATTTAGGTGGTCAAGTGAATCGGCGATGCGGACATATTACAGCTAACGTACGCACAAGTCAAGTCAATCTGCATCGTGAAAGATAAAAGAGCAGGATTAATAAAAAGTTGAAATAAGAAATAATTTGATAAGAGCAATACGGTTTATGTCTACATATCGGCAAAAACGACCCATTGTGTGTACGGCTGCCTTTTTTTTTTAAGCAGCTGAACAATACAAGCATGTTGCATTGCTGTGACAAAGGATGACAAAAAAAGGGAAGTCGAGTGAATAAACATTGGGCATTTCGAGGAGCCTTATCGTTTGGAACTTGCAATGTGAGGTAGCTGCCCTCTCAGCCTAGCGCCACGCCTTAGTAACGACTAGCGAAGGGCATCCCCGGTTCGTCCCACTTTGTTGCAGCGATATCGCTTCTGTTTCGAAGACTTAACTTCGCGGAAACTTTGTAAAGTAAACAATGCAAACTTCTAGAACAAATATCGAGAGCCTGAATGTATCCCTGGGGAAAGCCTTCTTTACAAAAAGGACCAAACTCGGCTAAGTTAAATGAATTAAAGACGGGAGGACAAAAAAAAAAACATTCAACTGGATAAGAACCATTTCTTTACTGCAAGGTCATGAGGACAAAAACTTAAACAACATACCCATTGCCTTTCAGCCAGCGTCTTGGTGCTCTATACATTTACAATTTAGCATGGTGTAAGGACCAAACGCAGCCTACATACTGGATCAGACACAACGTCAGACTGAACATATTGCCCGCTTTCCAGCACAATGGTCGGCTACACCAGCCAGTGAATACATTTCCATTGTGAACAATGGCATCAAAATGACTTTCAGTGGAGTTTAAGGTAGGGCAGGTCTCGGGTGACAAACGAAATGCGCCACCAACACGGATACGATTCTTAAACAAATCAGCACCAGAAAAAGCTACACACATTACGAATAGATGTAAAGTATGAGGGTTCACACTGCGGCGTTCTTTCATCAATAGAGGCTAGTGTTTACTGTCTCCGTCTTGGGCAATTATGATATCTGCTAGCAAACAAATGAAGCGATAAGCTGCGATGGGGCCTGCAAACTAATTCGTTTTATTTATTCTTAAATTACCAATGAGTGTAACCACTGTAACCCAGATGGCAGACCATATCAGTAATAAACAATGCAATTAATAGTTGTGGCTCAGTTACGAGGTGGAATCCTAAAACATTCATCCCCAAGGTCCCACTCCAACCTAACAATATTCTGAGTCCAGGGGCGGACGACGACCGCTGACCCGACAAAACCTACTGGGTTCCTCGGCCTGTCAACGTTTTAGAAACCGGGACACGTGCGCCCAAAAAGGCCAATTAAACAGATGGGAGACCAATCGACACAAACACATCCACTCAACGTCCGACCCAGCGCAGCGTTCCGCTCTGGGGCCATAAAACGGATCAGAAATCGACTCATCGCGAGTGGGCCGTTCGCCGGGCCGGCTGGGACTGTGGTCGGGTCGGGACCGGATGCCGGTCCCTTACGACACGCTCCGCCGCTTCAGGAGCATACCATGGCTGTCACGGACCAGGGACCAGCGCGGACCAGAGGTGAACGGGGTCCCAAAGCGGACCATGGACCGCTGTTCACTCCCTAGAGACCACGAACGCCTGTGTATTGTGTACCTATAGCAGAATCAGGACAATAAAATAGATCGTTCTAAGCTGTCTGATTTGGTGGCGTTTCGAGTCGGAGTAAAGAGAATGGCCATGGCAATGGGGTTCAGGTTGGCCGGTCAGCGGTGAAGATTGAGGTGTCACGTGCAAACTACACCTAGTGCAAGTGACAGTACCATCGCATACCCTTACATATGTCTGGGGATATGCATCATACAGAGACTTTGCACACCAGTTTGCACAACTAACGCTGTTACATTGCACACGAGTTGCAGAAATTCACATGTAAGGCAATGTTTTCCCCAAAACCGGCCGGCGGTCACAGGCCACAGGGCACAGTTCAACAATCAGGAGCGACACACCAGACACATCCAGAAAATCATTAATTAGCCAAGCCGTAAAGCACAAACCACATTCCCCATTCCTCAACCGCGTTCCGTGGTAGGCAGCGGCACACACGGTAAACTCACCTGACAAACGTATCCCAGCCGCAGCGCAGGCCGAGGCCACTCGTGGGACAACAATCGTCCACTAATCCACAATCCACCGACCCGTCCACAGTCCACCAGCGTCCACAATCGTCTCACGGGACAGTACTTGCGTCCACGCGCGGCCACGCACCCCCACACCTCCTCGCACCACAAGACGACTGCCGCGGCGGCCGTCTTGGACCGCGCTCCGCACGAGACAGTCGGCGGCCGGCGTCTCCACCAATCAGAGGCCGCGAAACGGCCCGGCCGGGCGACCGACCGGCAGGGAGCCGAGACCCCCCAGACAGGGAGGGGAGGGGAGACGCAAACATGTAGTGACTGGAAGCGCGGCTGTGAGGTGACAGGTGTCACAGTGGTCTTGTGTTGATGTGGATTGGATATTGTGCGTGGTCACTGCCACTGGTCAGGGGTGGGCGCTAATTAGTGACTGTGAAGAGAATGCTGCAAGATATGGATGCTTTTTACGGTAAGCTTTTGCTTTCTTGAAACTGGATTGTTCTAGAAAACATGGCGAGCGTATTTGGCTGTGGTCGCATGCTTCTGACCTGTTGGTCTGCGCTGTTGTGGAGTGATAATTGTCAATTGTCATGATGTGTATGAATCATGATGATTGGGTATTGAATGAACTGCCGGTTATCCAGTGGCGGATCCAGGGGGGGGGGGCAAAATGGGCATTTGCCCCCCCCCAAACGGCATAATTTTAACATTACGCCTATGGACGATGCATGGAAAGAATCGATAAATTGTTATGGTTTGCCCCCCCCCCAAACCTCTGAGCTGGATCCGCCTCTGCGGTTATTATTGAAATGAGGACAGTGGTCAGTGGGCAAGTTGAAATTGTGATTTGGCTTCTGAGTTTTAATGTGGGGGGGGGGGTGGCAGGTGTCATCTCTTTTTTGACAGGTGTCATCTCGACGGGGACCTAGACATAGTCGCTTTTGGAAGAAAAATATTGAGACTCGTCCACAACAAGCTTCTTGTCTACCTCAACCTACATAAAAACCTGATTATCTGAAATTTGATAACCTTAAGGCCGCCCCACACTGGACCTCGCATGCGGGTTGCGAGTTTTTGGGTTTTGCGGTTTCTTCAAAATCAGATAATACAATCTAAGCTGAGTGACCCACACTACCATCTAACAAGCGAGTCTGTATGTTTTTTGCTTGCGAGCGACCCTGCATCGCATTCGCATTCCAAAAGTTGATTTTGAGTTAACCTTGGAATTTCTTCGCTGCGAGTTCTGCGAGTTCTGCGAGGTTTGCGAGTTTTTCGTTGGAGTCGAATTTTGGTTCGTTGCGTAGGTATTGCGACTATATGTAAGTTTCTAAAGATGTACCAGCTTCACTGCATTCATGAAGTTACCATGAGGGGACGGTCTTATCACTCTATGAATTAGTATTATGTCCGCAAACTCAAAACCCGTAAACTCGCAACCCGCATGCGAGTTCCAGTGGGGCGGCCTTTACAATGCTTCCTTTTTCGGTGGCCTCCCCGATCTATCTGCCCTTCGTCGTCGCATAATTTCGTGGCCGCTCTGGTAATTAATGTCATCTCGATGTCCCACGGATGGCCAGATCTGTCGATGTCGTGCCACCGGGACAATTTATGGCCGCCCAGACAAATCGTCGCTACCATCCCAGCTAGGTCGCCGCTAGTTAACACTTTCTCCATGACAATCCAGGGGCTTTTTATAGCCGACCCTTGTCTGAACGAATCAACCCCGAGTCGTCCGAAAACCGGTCTGGAATCGTGCGTCCCTCGTCTAACTATTTCGGCTGTGAATGCATCCATGAGAATCCACCGAATCAGACGTCTTCAGCATCCACCTTCACCGTGCTGAGAGTTTCAATGTCCGTCTTCGTGGTCCTGGCGGCTGATTAGAAATGTCCCGACCGCTGACGACACGACTTCACGACTTCACGACTTCATTACCGCGGCGGTGCAGCTCTGTTCGTGGGTGGTAATTGGCTAACCCCGTCCCCCACAGCCCTACGGCGGCCCGGAGCTAGCGCGAGCTTTAGTCCTAGCATGAGTCCGAGCTCAGCTGAAGTCAGAACGCATCATGAATCCGAGCCTGGCCGATTGTTTGACCCGCACGGCCTCATGGCGGTCCGGGCCCAGCCAGACCAGGCTTGGATTACTGATTGGGCTCTGACTTCAAAAGAGCTCCTTATTTGACTTGAGCTCGGGCTGGGGCTCATTCATTTAGGACTCGGAGCTATCAGTCAACGTGGGCTTAGCTGGGACTCCTGATCGGGCTTGGGCTAGGCTCGGATCCCTGATCGAACTCGGGTTTTTGGTCGGGCATTTGCGGGTTTGGCTGGGGCTTTAGGGCCCTGCTCCAGTCAGCAAGGCGGAGAGGACGCGGGAGCTTCCAGGGAGCTCGGCGTGGTTCGGTTCAAGCAGTAAGAAGCTGTTGACGTGCACCTACCCTTCAAGCCAGTTGTCGGGCATAATTAATTCTTGAGGAGTTTCATACCAACCTATTAAGCTGTAATCAAGGTGAATTTTATTTTTGTGGCTAGTGAGGGTGACAATTATGACTGAAGAGACCGTTTGATCGCGGCCACCGTTTCGTTAGCACCTGCAGGTAAGTGGAAGGGAATTAGCAATATTCGGACGGTATTTCAAAACACGATGTCCTTACGACAATGCCACTCAGGTGCTCAATTGGCGCATTTACAGCCTGTCTGATTACTCGGAATGTGAGAATTGGCTAGGTTAGAACCCGCGCACGCTATTCCGCAAGGTTACGCCGATTGCAGGCCGCCCCTTTCTCGAAACGGGAAATTCCTGGTAGCTGCAAAGCCTAGACACGAAGTATGACATGACCGCCTAGCCGGTGCCGCCCATTGATTTCACTGGTTCTACGATTAAACATATAGGTGGGTGCATAGCAACGTGATTACTTTGTTTCGGAAAATATTTTTTCTCTAAAGTGCTTGAGGAGCCAATTGCCAGTAAACAGCATCCCTATCAACATTTGGCACTTTCGTGCCTTGTGTCGCTGTTGGTGTAAAGTCCGCAGGATTGGACGGTGCTGACCACACTCGGCGGCATCCTTACGACGGTCACTGTTCCGTGTCGTGTCCTTCCGTTCTGAACCTTTGCAGTGCCAACTGCTGTGTCTTCCTATACGCTTTGTCCCCATGTTTTGCGATACTGTTCCGTCCCGTGTCATCCCCTTGCCGTGAACCCATTGCGTCGCCGGCGGTGACGGTCACGGGTCCGCCGGGCGACACTGGGGCCATTTGGACCGGTCACGATTGCAGATAACGTGCTCACGAGCCGCCGACCGCCGCCTCTTACACGCGGTGACGCGGCGCGTTTGGTCCGCTGGTCCGGTCCGGCGGTCTGGTCCCGGTCCCCAGTGGTCCCGGATGGTCTCCCAGTGCTCCCGCCTGCACCGGCGCTGTCCCTTTGTCCTATAGGCAGTGGGCAGTGTCCCGGGCACCGATGTTCAGTGAAGCGAATGCCTTAGTTGTTAGTTACATGTTGACCAGGTTGTTAGTTCAGTATCCCCGGATGCTGCTGTTGATTGGTCTCACAGACACCTCTGATCTGGAATTTGTCACAATAGCATGATGGCAATGATTTATTTCTTTGTGGAAACTATATTCATTTTGATATTGACAAACCAAATCATTTTGACATAAACGTACCCCAGCCTGGAGGAACGACCATGAAAGTGACAATAGGTTATGAACGGCGAGTGCCGTATGTAAGCTGGCAACAGCTGGATAAACATAAATATGTAAAGGGAGAGACGATGAAATATGTAGGCAAGTGATGGTGTCTGCACACTGTCTTTCTACCCCACTATTCTCCCATGAACGCACGATTGCCCGGAATAGTTAGCTCGCCTTTTGACCAATTTTCAGTAACTTAAGCGCCTTCATTGCAGGTCTGGCCAACAAAATAACGCAATAACAATAGAAAATTTGTTCTACGTGGGTACCTACTGTTCTATATGGCAAGTACTGCTAAACTTGTAAACATTTCCCCATGTCTGTTTTCTTACGAGCTCAGGTTTCGCTAAATGCCTACTGCCGCCACGTGACCCCGGACCACCACTCTTGCCGTGTTGACAGGAATCCTGCTGAGAGCTGATACGTGACAGTTCTCCATTTCTGCAGCCTTTGGGGCCTGGGGGCCAGGGCCACGTCAATTGATCAAAGTCTAGCCCGTCTAGCCTTAGTGCAGGTGCGAGTCCGATTCTATCGCTTCTCTCGCCGAGTGCAGCGCCACCTACATTGCTGCCAGTGCTGATATCTACCGCTAGATGGCAGTATATCACGCCAGAGCCGTTCTACTTTCGCGCTGCCACCAGCACTCAGCAGCATTGCACGCGTCAATAAAATTAACCTTACCCGGGGAACTTGATAACCGAAGCTCGTGAGATGACGTTCGAACGCTCAGCACCAAACGAATGTCCTAAATGTCCGGAAGTGTCTTGTCTTGCCTTGCACACCTTTCAGGTAGATATTTACCTACACATGTAGGTAAATACCTATTAGTGCCACTTGTGAACGTGTCAAAGCTTAGGGCTTTATTTGATAATTTAAATAATTGTTTCTTGATTGGCGATTAACTTTATTGATGAATCTATTTCATGCCCAACTTTTGTTGCATATTCATATTCGTTCTCAATACCTACGCAAGAAGATGATGCTATTATTAACCCGCGACCTGGTGGGGGGGGGGGGCTATTTTTTGCCCCCCCCCCTCCAGACTTTTCGATATATCTCCAGAACCGCTGCGCCGATCGTCACCAAACTTTCAGTACCCTCCCGGACATCAATTTTACACATTGTGACCAAAAATTTTTCCAAAGGCTATGATAGGTTGGCCGGAAATGACGTCAGAGTGACGCCATGTTCTGCCGTTTTCGACCCAAAAAAGGGTTTCGCGGGAAGAGCTGTCAGGCCTATAGCTTTGCAAATACAGAAAAATGATAAAGACATAAAAGCTGTAGAATTGACAGGGCTACAAAACTGCTATCTCAGATTTTTGAAATTTTTGGATTTTGACCCCCAAAAATCAAAAAATAATTTTTTAAGATATAATAATCGAAAAATCCAAAAAGTTTTTTGAATTTCGCAAAAACCGGAATATATGTGATAGTCCTTACCACCTTCCATCCACATACCAAATTTGAGATTGATACCTCTTTTTTTGGCGAAGTTATAGCGAAAAAACTGTTCAAAATTGATGACGTCAA